TACTCCATGCCCAATATGGCAAGCCTTAATGAAAGAGAAACTCTGGACAAAGTTGTCAACGAGTCTCTGGCAAAGAAGGCATATCACTTGGAGCAAGCCAAACGGCTTGCCAACGAAAGGATAATGATGCTGAAGAGTGCTAACAAGCACTCACATAACTTTCGTTAGTACCCTACCCCTGAAGTTCCACAACAAAGTGATCAATCCTACGAGGACTTCACCTTGGTTCACTCACAGTCATCTAACCACCCGAACATGCCTACCCTCACACTTGAGGAACTAGACGAATATTCCAACAGGGTCAATCTGGATGATGTGACTGATGAGTTAACCTGCCTGGAACTTCACGTGCCCTATCGCTTCATTTGAATATTGCTTGTCTTATCTGTATGGTTTGGAGTATCTCTGTAAGGTTCTCTCCAATGAAAGCTTTTCATTATTGTTGTTTTTGTTAATTACTCTTCTAACCTTGATTCTGTTATGTCAGATTTCGGATCAAAAATGGAATTTGTCTTAGAATATTATCTCATTAATAACAATGGAGACATAAGTTTAATGATATTTGACTCTTCAAGAACCATGAATTTTCCCTTGAAAAAGCGCTTCATCATGAAAGGCTATAAAAGGAGCACATTGGTTACGCTCAATTTGCATTCATCTCTTCTAAAATGGCTCCTAAAGTCTCAATCACCAAAAAGGTGTCAAGAAAGACCCGAGGTTATGCAGACAAGGATGAACAAGGCACTCACATTCCTGGAAATCACCCTATCAATCCTCTAAACATTTCATCCGATTTTGAAATTGAGGACCCTGATGAAGATGCAAGATCTTTCGATCCTAATGAGGAACCCCCTCTAATCGTTAAAAAGGGGGTTCTTGACATTGGAAGCTTGGAACAATACTGCTATGGATAGAAATCTCAGGGATTTTTATCGACATTATGATTGCAAATCTGCATTAGTGGGGTATGTGGAAGGAGATTCTGATAAAGAAATAAGCCCTGATGGTGGATCAAAACGCCCAAAAGCCTCTACATCAAAGAAAAATTCAAAGGTCACCAAGGGCGAAACCAGTAACACGAAGAAAGGAAAGGGAAAGAAATGAAATCTCTCGTGTTCTGTGCTTAAATATTGTTCTCTAACTATTCATTTCTGTTCACCCATGTTTGTTCTGCATTTGAATTAATGAAGGACTTTCTATCATAAATCTCTGCCTATCTGTCATTCTCACATCTTGAAATCATATCTCTGACCCTAAAATCATGACACTTTTGAAAATGACCATTCAAAGTCTTCTACACCATTAATGGTCGATTGAAGAAATACATGGTCATTGATTACAGCATTGAATGCTGAGAGCAGTTTCACAACGTTATCTCTTCTCAATCTGCCTATAAAAGGGAACTATGTCTTGCGTTTCTCTACCATTCTCATCCTCACAAATGGCTCCTAAAAAAACCCTTCACTAGGGGAGATTCTAACAAGCTCCGTGAACTTGCTAGGCAAATACGACAGGAGCAAGGAGATTTGTATCCAGGTAACAGTCTCCAAGCACCATTGGAAATCTTGTCCGACACTGAAGAATCATCTCTGTATGATGATATGGCTGGGTTCATTGTTGAAGAACCTCAGGAAGAAATCTATCCCACAGGAACTGATCCTCCACAGGCAACCTCTGAGGATCCCAGCAAGTTCTACGATCCGGACTACATGACCTATCTGAAACAAGAGGACGAAAAAGAGGCAAAGGCTAAGGGGGAAGAACCTTAATCATCTTCGGGTTCCAACTTTCCTCGTATCGAAAAATGGTACAAGCGTATGTGGGGTGATCTGAAAAAGGCAAACGCTGAGCCATCCAAGGACAAGAGAATCGGGAGAAAGAAAAACTAATCCTTAGGATTATGTACTTTATCGTTGTATCGTAATCTCTCGGTTTTATGAATAAAAGTCTCTTGGTGCTTATTATCTTATATCTTCTAAAATAAATGGACGAAACTTTATTTGTTTTTATCATTCACATCAAAGCTTATCTCAGCCTAACTTCTCCTTTCTTGGAAATGAAAATATTCTTGCAAGCGTGCTGTGATTAATCTTTTCGTTCACTTCTTTTGATGCATATATGTTGAGCTATATAAAGGACCCTCACAGCAAACTATGGACTCACTTCTCTCAGGAAATTCTATCATGAATAAAGGTAAAGAACAGACACTTATATCTGGAAGTATATCTGAGTTCGAGAATGACTCCACACATAAACCCGAAAGTTCGCTGGTGAAGGGAACATCTTATGACGAATCTACCAAAACATCAAGTGGCTCTGAATTTCTCTCTATTGTGCAACATGCGTCACAACTGAAACATGAAGAACAATATCGATCTCTCTATGCTAGTGCCAAAGCCAAAGTTTTAGCTGACCTTGATAACATGGAGAGACGAGGTCTTTTAAGAGATGCGATGGGAGCAGATCACGACACAATCATAGCTGAAGTATTTGCCTATGAGGTTCAGAAAAAGGAGTATCTTGAAAGTGCTCGAAAGAAGAAGACTGGCATTAAGTAAAAGGTTGTGCACCTATGTACACCGAGAGATAGTAATTGTTTTTATCTTAGCTGTTTCGTGTAACAAATCTCTCGGGAAGTGTATCCTCTTTGAATGTTGAGTAAGAGATTTGCTTGACTTTATTTGTCTTGCAAATCTCCTAAGTATGATAAAATCATCTTCCTTCGGTTTGGAATTGTGTTTAAGAAGCATCATCTGGCTCTCTCTCATCACAACCGTTAAGATGATCTATAATGGGGATCGTGCGGCCGAGAAATATGGTCCACTACCCCACCTTGACTGACACATGAATTGACGTGCATTAAATGCACACACAGATACTCGAGTACCTTTTCTCTCTCCGCATTAAATATGGAATGATCAAACTTGATCTGCACACGATCCTATCACTCCCCCATGCTCTGATCAGTTACCATATGAAGAAGAGGAGGCGGTTAACCTTTTGAAATTCGACAAACCCATCCTCTCATAGGCTACCCATATCTAGTTACCCGGATCCAAATAAAACCCTACTTGAATCTTCTTCGCCTCATACCTTGGATTTTTCATCTCCTCCCAGACAAAACCACCAATCTTTCTCTCTCAAACACTCTACAATGGCAGAACATACTCCAGCTACATCCTCCAAAAAGGAACCAGAAAACCCCTCTACCCTGGAAATCCCAAGCTTTCCAACCAAAGACATGCGACTTATTGAATCCAGAGTTCCATTCATTGTTAGAGGCAGCATGTGGGATGCCCATGGATTTCTCGAGTACGTATTGGATCGAAGATTTGGCGAAGATATCATTCGACTGCTCATGGAATCTGGATTGTATGGGTTCATTACACATCTCTATACCGTATGGCATCCCATCGATGTAACGCAGTTCTACATGAATGCATCCATATCCAACGACTCTCTGACCATCTCTTCCAGGGTCCACAATCATCTAGTGGTCCTCACCTCAGAAGATATTCGAACCACGTACGGGTTTCCACAGAGGGATGAATCTTACAAGTCTGACCTCACCTATTATCACTATGATCCAGAAGAGTTCTATGATTCTATCAAGAACAATCAAGCCCCTTTAAAGAAAGAAATCACTTGGCCATTAAAGAAGAAGTGGTTTAAGTTAAATTACAAGTTTACTGTTGACATTTTCAACAAGATTGTTGATCATAAGACCTCAGGCACTGATGATGTGACAAAGGAGAAACTGAAGATGTTGCATGCCTTTCTCAATGAACTTAAGGTTGACTGGTCGAAGATTATTTTCAATAATCTAGTTCACACCATCACCTACCACCGGAAAAGTCTAGGAGATATCACCAAGAAACTAGGGTATGGTTTTATGGTAAGCCATCTTCTTGTCACGAAAGGAGTCTTAATGCAACCAGGCATTCGGCCCGGACAGAAAGCTTGTCACGTGAAGCAAAAACCATCTGGTTATGACAAGCAGAAGGCGTTGGAATTGGGAATTCCCATCGAATTGGTTAAGGCCAAACGAAAGTCAAGAACACCAAAGGTATCCGAAGATGATCAACCCAAGCCAAAACGGCAAAAGAAAGAAAAACGCTCCTCTCGGGATAAGATGAAGGAAAAAGATGATGTCCAACCAGTGTCAGTACCTCCAAAGTCTCCTCAAGAGAAGAAAGATCCAATTCAACCAACTCCACCACCAGAAACAATTGTTGTGAAAGACTCATCCGAAGAAGATACTCTGATTCTATCAAGACTCAGTAAAAGGGGTCACTTTCGTTCTCCGGTCAAATCAAAGCATTCCCTAAAGGAAGACACTACACCGAAAGTAGTCGACCCAAGAGAAGCACATCCTCAGGGGGGAAGAAATCACGAAAGAAGCACCTCTCCAGGGGGAATATCAACCGAAAGTTGCCTCACCAGAAAAACTCTCAGATCCTCAAGTACTAGAACTTGGTCATATCTTCTCTCCGGTTCCCCATCCACAAGAACCTACTTTGGCAGAGCAACACCTTGAAGGGTTGACACAAGAACCTGCTAATGTAGAAATGGAGGCCAGTTGCTTAAATCTACCACAAGAACCTGGTTCACCAGACAAGACGAAAGAAGCGACTGCTGCAATGATTGATGTTTCGTCTCATCCACAAGAACCTACCAATGCAGAGCAGGTAATTCTGACACAAGAACCTGGATTGGTAGACGAGACAACTGTGATGCCAGTAGCGACTCCAGCAATTCCGAAAGAACCACCCCAAGCTCCCAAAGCACCGACACCAGATCAAGTACTCCGAGCATCTATTGAAAGTGATTATCAACGAGTTCTACAGTGGCAAAAGTGGCGCACAGCCCCATTAAGCACATTTGTTGAAACTTTTGAAGCCATGCAAGACGAAGAACAACTTGCACTGAAGTGGATTGGTACAGATGATGTCTACAAAGCACTTCGTCTTGAAGAAATAAGATGAGTATTCTCCTACAAGATGACCAATCGCACTCTAGGAAAAGACAAAGCTCCAATTTGCATTAAACTTAACAAGCCACCGTTGGATCCAGCTTTGGAAGCAGAAATGAAGCAACTTCAATATGCCATGCTGTTATCAAAGATCAAAACTACTTTAGAAAAGGAACACCAGAATGATCCAAACTGCAATGTCAGTGGCACGAAGGATGAGCATGGACGAGAAATTGAAGAAGACGAAAGTGACATGAATGAGGAAGATGAAGATGATGATGACGATGATGTTGAAGATGCAGATGATGAGCATGATGACGATGATGATGACAATGACAACGATGATAATTTGGGTAATGCAGGTGTCCAAGGAGCCGATCCCGAAGACCGTGATCCAATATTGATCGGTCCTGATTATGATACCTTTCCTCAAAGATCTCCTCTAAGAAAATTACCCTCTAACAGTGATGACCCGAAAGAAGCTTCACAGCACAATCAACAGGTTTCAAATGACCATCCCGAAGATTTGTCTCGTGCGATTGTACCACATATTCCACTTGTGAACGAGACTCCTATCAAACGTGAAGCAGCGACTGAGGGAAAATTGGAAGCCTCACCTATTCTCCTCAGCTCAGCAAGTGGTGGAAAAGGGGAAGCACCACCTCAGGATGAACAAATTGACACATCGCCAACCAACATTGAAGTAGATTCAACTCCAGAGTCCCCAAGGACTATCATGAACCACATGCGAGAAACTGTTCATACAGCCGAGACCATTCATTTGCAATATTTGGTTCTTCGAGAAAAGGAATCAAAGGTGTTGGATGACTTATGCAAGAAGGTAGATCACCTAATGGCTACCCACTCTAAACCTCCGTCTCCACCTCCACAGCAACCTCAACCGCCTCAACAAACTCAATCAGATCACAAGTTCCTGGAGCGAATTGACAAGACTCTTCATGAGCTTAATACCTCTGTTAACAAATTCGCTCGACAGCAACACGAACTCAAGCACTCTCATTTCGGTCTCAAGGAGCGTGTTGATTTGGCATGTCTGAAGATAGACACAGCACAAGATAACTCTTACCAACTGGGAGAATCAGATTCTGGGATATGCCCAAGACATCTTGGCTGCGGTAAATAAGCTTTCCGTTATTCCTCCTACCATCTGTGCCGCTGATGCCAAAAAGGGGGAAAAGGACAATAATGACGACAAGGACAAGGATGATGATCATCCGAGAGATACTACGAAAGAACAGTCTCCAAAGGGAACTCCAAAAGATCGGCATTCACCCTCTCGGACACCAAGAGACTCTGGCCGAAGAAACACAAATCTGTCTCATCCACCTTCCAGGTCTCGTGGTCACCGTTCCTCAAAACCAAGATACCATGGTCGATATCAATCCAGATCACTCAAGCCTCGCCAATCTTTTGGCTCTGAAGCCAAATACATCTTCACATGTCTATCCAAGAGAGAACAGACGAAACTAAGACAGAAATGCATGAAGAACAACAAAATAACTATGGATGGCATAAGAAACTTTGTGGATTTTGTACCCTATGAAGAAGGAAGTGGTAAACGTTTTGAGGGTTGCAATGTCCCTATCTGGCTCAAGACAAAGGACAATCATACAAGGCAAAATCACATAAGCACTCAAAACGAAAGGATCAAAAGAGAAAACAGAGAACTATGGAAGAAACACGATGAAGAAGTCAAAAGAAGAGAGGATGAAGCAAAAGAAAGAGAAAGGATAAAGAAGTTGATTGAAGATCTCTCAAATGTGACCAAAGACTCTCCACAAGGTGTCATGCACAATGCAGCTTTTAAAGTGCACGCTGAGTCTGGAAAAAGTTATCAAGAAGGAATGAACTCATTTGAACTGATTTCGTGGTGGAAAGCTGGAATAATCGAAGGAAGAAACATTCGTGAAGCATACAACAACTACACAGGGTTGAACATCAAAGGAAAACATGAAAATCTTGTCAAGACAAATCCTATAAAGATCTTCAGACAAAGGATCAATGAGGAAATCGACTTCACCAGAATGCTCAAACAACAAAAGGAAAGGGATGACCGTGAACATGAGGAAGCTGAAAAACAGAAGTCAAATCTTTTGGAAATGTAAGATACCCTTTCGTTCTGATTTCATTATAAAGTTTTTGTAATTTACATCATCTTAATATAAAACTCTCATTGTTACACATCTCGTGTCACTTGTCTGAGTTATTTGTCCTTGTCTTATTTATTAATGCTTTCATCATAGAAAAGACTTGTACACTCTCAAATAATGGCTGCCTTATAATAGAAAAACTCCTTATGGAACTTTTATCAGCCTTACAATAAGAGTATAGGTTTTGGCATCATCAAAAAGGGGGAAATTGTTAGGAACATTGTATTAGGATTTTGATGATACCAATGTAATGTAGAAAGTAGACCCCTAACTGTTAGCTTTTTCGATCGCTACTTTCGTCTTAGACGAGAGTTGCCATAACTCTCATGTAATTCGTGTTAAGCTAGACAAACACACGAAAATGAGTTATGTCTAGTTGATAGGGTCTACAAGACGAAAGAAGACACGAGACAAGATGTTCAGCAACAAGAATGTATAAGGAGTTGTCAACCACCTCGAAAGGACAGATTTATTAAAGACGATTCCTTCCAAGTATTCTTTCTCCTCAACAACGAAAAGAATGTTTCATTTGTCTGATTTGACATCTTCCTAGGAAAATAAGGATCTCATGGGGACACGATTACCAAGGAGCATTAAATGAAGAGGTACCATCTCCTGGAGCTAAAAGACAAAACCCTAATGCCTCCCATACCTTCAACGGCTACATGGTACAACCTCATTAATGGAGCATTTAATGCATGAAGCTCCCCGGTCCTTATCCAATGGTTAAAAGGTTCGAAAATTTCATCTCCCTCCAACGGATGAATTTTCATCACCTATATAAACCCACCTTCATCAACTAAGAAGGTGCTGGTTCAACTTTCACTCGATCTACTACTTGCAAAAACTCTTAAACGCTCTCAACTCTCCCAAGCTTTTGTGAACCAGTGTCAAGGTGTTAAGACATTTGAAGAAGTCCAGTAATCATCATCTTACACCTTGAAGAAGTCTTGCCATTTGTACGAAGCAATCATCCTTCACAGTCAAGACTTCATCACGTTGGAGAAATCAGAAATCTCTTTCTACCAACCTCAACTCTGAAAAAGAAGTTGATAGAGGCGGAGTAAAATCGAGAAGTTGAAAAACCTACGAAGGCTGTCCGGCTTAGTGATCAAGTTAGTCTTTGTGTAATTGTACTAACGAGTGATAGTGCAATCCTTCCACAAGTTGTGGAAGAAGAGTGGAGTAGGCAACGTTGGCCGAACCACTATAAAAACTCTTGTCTCCTTATCTCTTTACTTACGCATTTCATTTCTACATCATATTCACTTTATCATCATTACCGAAAGTTCTCTTCTCAACATAAACTCGTGCAAAGCAAATAATCAAATCTGAAATATCCGCTGCGCTAAAACACCGAAATGTGGTTTTGGGGTAAAACACGAAAAGAGTCTATTCACCCCCCCCCCCCCCCCTCTAGACTCTCACTACACTCTATCGGGACCAACACAATTCAAAGTGGGATTCCTGATCAGGAATTTTAACGTTGGGTTACGCAAAAGGAAATTTCGACTTTCCCTTTGGTGTTATCGCCTTCAGTAACGCCTAACGCTTTAGCGTTATAGCTTTTCCATTTATTTTTTTTTTAAATAATGGCAGAAAATACGGTAGATGGACAGTACACCTACCGTATTTACTAGCATTAATACCTAAATACTCTGTAAATGCCACCATTATTTACTGCCTTTTCTTTCCCCACATTTAGACTCTTCTCCTTGGTAGTTTTCTTCGAATTTCTGCCTTGCACATATCATTTTTTTCAATATTTGTGGTCCCTCTCAAATCCTTTTCACCCTTTTTGTTTGTGTATTTTGTATCAACGATTACTGTATATTGAGAAGTAGTTGTGTTGTTTGACTTTAGTCTATTCAGGGTTGCTGGGGTTCATGGTGGTGACAGCCTCGGCTTGAAGGCAAGAAAAAAATTATTTTTTATTTTTTTTTGTAATAGGACATTATTTTGATTGTTGTTTCCTTGATGAACACATATTCCAGTTTCTTCAAAAATATACATTATTTTGATTGATGTTTCCCTGTTGAACACATGTTGGCCCTGTTTGGTAAAAAATTAGCATATAGGACAATTTTGGCTTATTTGACCACTCTTAGTTGTTTGATTTAGTTAAAATATCAATATAAATGTTTGGTTAATTAGCTTTTTGCAACTCCAAAAGGCTAAAATTCAAAAAGCTACTCCAAGCAACTTTTTCAATTAGTTTTTTGAGAAAAGAAATTAATATACCAAACAGCTATTAGCTAACAGCTAATTTACCAAACACTTTTCTACAATCAGCTAACAACCATTTTACCAAACAGGGTCATTGTATTTTCTTCAAAAATATTCTGGAATCCCGTTGTATTCTATTTTTTTTTTTTTACTGTATAAACCAACATCGCCTAAGGGAAAGTCGTGGTTGGAATAGGGAGTGGAATAAAGCTAAAGCAAAAGAAGTTATTCCCTTCTTTGTATCCCAACCCAAAAATCTCCCTATTTGGGATCCCAAGAAAAATTCCCTCTCTGGAGAGGGAATGATTCTGAAATTTGACACGTTAAAAAAAGACAGTTTTCTCCATTTCTTTCTCTCCTTGATATCCACAAAAAAATCATTTCTTTGCAGGAGTTAAAAATAGCTTCTCTCACCTCCTTCTCTATCATCATCTAAGTCATAATGGGCTCCACAAAAAATCAAGAAAAATACACAGGTGAGGATGCTCTTAGTATTATTATTACCCAAGGATATTTTAGTCTTTATACCCCTCCTTCCCTTTTTATTTCGAATAATTATATTCTTTCCTACCAAACAATGTAATTTAAATTCTTATGTTATTCACACATTATTCTTTTTCCAATCGAATTACAATTCATTTCCGCTCTAATTCATTCCCTCCAACCAAACGCCTCACTATTTCTCCTGGCTCTCTATTGCACTTGAGGTTTGCTATAGGTTTTTGGGGAATTTTATCAAGTTTCTTGCCTTTTCAGATGATAGGAATGCAATAGCTTGCAAGGGAAAAGTTTTTAATCCCACTCTGCTCTACATTCCACTAGCCAAATTCAATCGCTTTCAAACGCAATTTACAACTGCGTTTAACTTTCTTTTCTTTTTTTTTTTTTGCCAAACGCATTTAATAAGCTTATATATACGTCAAACGCATTTTCAAATTTTTTGAAATACATTTGTGGTGTTTGTAAATATACCTAACATATTTCAGAGTTACGTTTACTGGCCGTTTGGTTGGAAAGAGGAAATTAAGGAAAATGAATTGTAATTTCATGGAAAAGGAATAAAGTGAGAATTACGATGGAATTTACAGCACGTTTGGTTCGCGGAATGAATTTTGAGGGAATAGAAATATTATTCCATAAGGAATAGGAATATTATTCCATAAGGAATGGAATAGGTAAGGAATAGAATAGAAATTGTATTCTATTTTTTGGTTCGGTTAAGGAATAGACTTTATGAATGTTATTTGAGTGTTTGGTTGATTTAAAGAATAGAAATGGAATATATGTGTAAAAGACAAAACTACCCTTATTCAAAATATATAATATTATTATTAATTATTATTATTTTTATTATTATTATTATTATTATTATTATTATTATTATTATTATTATTATTATTATTATTATTAGTATTATTATTATTATTATTAGTATCCACTGAATACATGTAAGCATGTATTCTCTTCGTGGATCAGAGACGAGGTGAAGCGTGATGCCGAATCGGAACCCTCGCTGGTGAGCTACCCCTACTCCACCAAAATTTCTCATTCCTCCCTATCTCGCTCCCTCTCCTTCCATCTCGGAACAAGCTCTGCTCCTCCACTCTCCTCTCTACGCTCCTCTACGTCATCTTCCTCAATGGGCTTTACACACTGGTTAATAGGTTTGAAATTTCATCTCCCTCTAACGGATGAATTTTTCCTCACCTATAAATACCTCTCTTCACCACTGAAGAAGGTGCTGGTTGTTCAACTGATTTTTATCTAAGAAAAGCTCGTCAAACAAGTTCATCCAAAAGCTTTTCAAAAACCAGTGTATGTGATTGTGAAGTTTTCAAAGAAACTCATCCAGATTCATTCTTCACAATCCTCAAAGAAGTCTTGCATCTCTATAAGAAGAATCATCTGATCATCAAGTCAAGACTTCAAGCTGTTGGAGAAACACATCAAATCCATCCAACACTCAACTCTGAAGTAGAAGTTGATAGAGGCGGAGTAAACTCTAGGAGTTGAGAAACCTTTCGAGTAGCTGTCCGGCTTAGTGATCAAGGAAACTAGCTTGAGTAGTTTGTACTAGGAGTGATAGTGCAAACCCTTTCACAAGTTGTGAAAGAATAGTGGAGTAGGCTTTGTTGATAGCCGAACCACTATAAAAATTCCTCTCTCCATCTCTCTTTACTTTCGTATAACTATCTATCTGGCATTGCATGCATATTGACCATACATTAAACTTTCATAATAAAAATGTGCAAAGTTCATCTTAAAACATTGATACAATTTCCGTTGTGCATAACCCCGAAAGGAGTTAATCTGAAAAATCGATTAGAGTCTATTCATCCCCCCCCCCCTCCCCCTCTAGACTCACTTTCGACCCTACCGGTACCAACAATACCTAACATATTTCAGATTTACGTTTAGTAACCGTTTGGTTGGAAGGAGGAAATTAAGGAAAAAATAATTGTAATTTTGTAGGAAAAGAATAAGATGAGAATTATGGAGGAATTCACATTTCACTATTTGATTTTGGTAGATATGAGAATTATTAAAATGTAAGAAATGATATAAAGACTAAAATGTTATTGTAATAATAATAATGATGATAATAATAACAACAACAACAACAACAACAACAACAACAACAATAATAATAATAATAATAATAATAATAATAATAATAATAATAATAACAATAATAATAATAATAATAATTACTCCATTTTTTGTAAAGA